CTTTGCTGAGAAGTATCCACCCCAAAATACATTTTTTTATGCAGATTAAAGAGTCACTAAACCACAGGCACTGCAATTAAATCAACCACAAGCAAAAAAAAAAAAAAAGAAAAGAACACTTAGTTTTCAGTTCAATGAGGTAATATGCTTACATTCATCAGCTCTTACTTATTCTCAGTTCAACGAGACAGTATTTCACGTTTGTCAAATCAACTTATTTACTTACTCTTGCTTACTGACTATTACTTAATTACTTACTTTCTTACTTACTTAGTTCACGTTCGTCAGATCATTCAAATCATTCAACTCAAACTCTATTCTTGATGTCTGAATTAAGATTTAATCTAACCCAACTTCATTAAACCTCTTGAAGAGTGAACTAAAATCTAATCAAACCTTTAACTTTGAATCAGTTATCTTTCATTAACGTTAAAGGCAGCAAACTACCTATCAAATTTTCGTCCAATATGTTGATTTAAATCGGTACGCTACATTATTTATTATTATTATGTTTGAACCAGGTTAATCATAGCAATTTTTAGAATATCAAAGAAATAAATTTTTATATCTCTTCATTAAGTTTATTTTAATTTTTTAATATTGACCTTGACTAATGAAAACATATGAAAACATAAATATTGTAAAAGAAATTCAATTTACATTTGAAATACAATGAATACGTTTGAAATATATATCATGTTATTATTATGATGTATGGAACAATATCAGACATTTGTATATATTGTTAAAATATGTAAAAGTAACAATGAAACTGATATTTATTTTATTCAAGACCGGACAGCCTAGTGAAGAAAGCTTAGTAAAGAACGAATTTAATTAATAAAGTAATTCAGCTACTAAAATATTAAATTAATATTATATCGCATCGTTGGCACATTACATGTGTTTCAAAGTAGCGTTGCTGTTCATATGGAAAAAATTGTTCAATAATATTTTTTTGAAGAAAATATTCGTATTCTGAAGCAAATAACGTCCTCCCTTAATTTAAATATTATAGACAATTATTGGGAATTATTATCATGCATAAGGAAGATAATTAAAAAAATATATGCATACGATTTTATTCTTGTATGAGAATAAAATGGTATAATTTATACTAATCATTTTTAAAAATTAAAAAATTGTATAAATTATTATTTAAAAGAATGATGGAAATAAAGATACGAACTGTATATAATCTATGAGAAACATATATAGTACTAATTGATTCGTATTCAAAATATCGTATTTTAATCGAGCCATGGAGGAATTATTATCTGTTACAAGTATGTGTTAGGATTCTCGACTTATGATTGTGTATCTATTTGCATTCAACAAGATTTTTACGTAAATGGCACAAATAAAAAAACAAACAAAAAATCTAATATTTAAAATTTTCAAATAAATTTGTAACAAATAATACATCTGAAACAAATAACATCTTAAATGATAAATGCATTAGAATCCGATGAATTATCTATGGCTATCAATTTACTGCTAGCAAAAACAATCAGTTTCTGCTTAAGTTTCTTCCTCTAATTTCTACTTAAGACTCATGTCAAATATGGATTACATTGACTGACAACAATTATATCTATTGATAATCCATTTAATATTTTGTCTGAAATTGTTGAAAAACCTACGACATATGTCATAAAAAAACCACTGTATCAAAACTTTCTCCAATACGCATTGAGGTTTAAATTATTAAACCTTTAATAATGTCTTTGAAAAAGAATTGTAACTATAAACTAAAATAGATAAAAGAAATATTCATGTTAAAATTCAAATAAAGTTCATCTTGAAAAGCAAAAATGCTACTTTCTACGACTAAAAAGATTGTAAAGAAGGTACAATAAAATTTATATTAAATGAAAATCATAAAACAGACATAAAGGATTTTCTAAGACCTGCGAAATTGTCAGAAGGAATAAGAGTGCTATCTGAAGGTTATAAATGACACTCAAAAGTAAAGACGAAAGTGAATTGAGTTTTTTAACCGAATCGTGAGAGCATGGTAGAGCAGATTGGATGGTATACTTCGCTCCGATTCATTGATGATACAAGAGCAGATATCTGAGTGCTTCCTTCCACCTAAAGGGAAGAGCTTCGTAGTAAAACCTAGAATCCACGAGTCCAAAGCGGAAAATGAAAAGGAACCACTCCTCAGACAGCTAAGAGAGTCCTATGAACAGTGCCAAAAAAGAAGGCCATCGAAAAGTGTACACTTTAAGCAATTCACTAATTCGACTTCTTGAACTAAGCATATGTGAGAATCTAAAAAACCAAAGCCTAAATTCTTTCTACATTTTGCTCAGAACTTCCAACACACATCAGATATCCAAAATCACATTTGCCCGGGGAAGCACATTGGCACAAATAAATCACGTAAGAACAAACATATTGGCACAAATAAATTACGTATGTCGAGAACATTAAAGTTTGTCGCGAAAAATACGAGACTCAAAAATTCACAGTGAGTGAAAGTAAGAGTGTTTCCGCTATCAGGCACGAGGCCATACATTCGTAACTGTAACAAAAAATAAGTTTGCGTAAAATGCGCAGGTCAACATGACACAAGAACTTGCACTAAAAGGCTAGATACATCTTCAACTTGTGCAAACTCCAAACGCAACCACCCAGCAAATTGTTTAAAATGTCCTGCTCTGATTATTTACTCAACAAGAGAAATGCCTACAAAGAAGCAAAAATCCAAACCGCAAAAATACCAATTACTTGTACAAATACTTTCACATCAATGTTTATTCCTGATCTCCGGAAAAACCCTCGCTATCTATACTCTTCGCACACAGATAAACTCTCTCACCAGACATGGACTCATATACTCAAGAGCGGCCCAAGCATTTTCTCAATCTCTACAAACTAAAGAAAATATAATTACAGATCTTCCTGAGAAGTTAAAGAACATTTCGTCCGACTTAGATTTCCTCTAAGGATAATCTCCCTGATACAAAAATACTATACCAAATGTACCAATAACTTGGACAGGGTCAAAGCGATTATACAACTGGAAAATGGCCAGACACAAGAAAGCATTAAATATTATTCTCTGGAATGCTATCAGTATTAAAAACAGCTGAACTATATCGATTCTTCTCAGACCATAACGCTCATGTTGCCATCGTCACAGAGACCTTAATTCTAAAGATCTTATCAAAATACCAAACTACAGCATACACAGAAAAGACGATCCACAATCAAGTTCAAACAAACAAAGAGGCGATGTATTAATTACAGTCCATCCCAAAAGCATCCCCGTGAAGGATGTCCCAGAAGTTAAAACAATCAAAATTAAAACTCTCTCACTCTAATAATAGGAGACATTTGCGATTCCCCCAAAATAAAGATTCTCCTAGGAGACCTAGACGCCATCATCCAGTTACATGTTAACGGACATTATACATCATAGGCGATGACTTCAAAACGAAGCACCGAATATGGAACGATACAAAAAGAAATTCAAACGGATAAAAAAATATCAATCTGAATTATACAACTACCAAATTATCCATAGCCTAACATATACGTACAAATAGCTCATGTGTGCTCCAGAAAACACAGACATCTTCCTTACTAACGTCCCTTATCATAATTGTCATATCATAGATAATTCTTTCCAAATTATTTTGCAGTTGAACGTACACTGCAAACACATAAAATTTCAAATTTTACCAACAGGTAAGCAATACAACAAAGCAGCAAGAAAAAAACTATAGATAGCAAGAAGTAAACCATAACCTGCCTCGCGGCAACAATCAAAGCCTTTTAGTTAGCTAATCCACAACTCATACCGCATCGCCATCAAAACGGTAACTAACATAACATAAACTCCAAGCATAACATAAACTCAACCACTACTTCACAATCTTATTAAAGAATGAAACAGACGAAGACGGAAGTACCAAAAAACAGGATACTCCCCAGAATACACAAGTTAAACAGAAACTACATTATTATTAACTACAGCTATACAAAAGAGAATGGTAGAACTCAAAAATGGCAGGTTAAATTCAAGAAAATCAAGTGCACTGACCTTACACTATAGCAGACGTACAAACTAATTTGTGGGACAAAAACCCTTACACCAGTCCTACAAAACCCTTACACCAGTCCTACAAAATACAACTAACAACACAAACTGCTTTTCAGACCAGAAAAAAGCAGAAAGTCTGGTCCAAACCTTCGAATACATTCATTGCACATAGTGTTTGCTCCCCTATACAATTGAATAAAAGGCAGTTCTTATAATAAACAGCCTCCTTATGCATAAAAATCTAAAATGCTCCTGAAATGATCATAGACATAATCAGACATTGACATTATCAAAAAATTCTCCAGCAATAAATGGTGTTTATAATTCTTCCGGACTGGAGAATTACAAATACTAAGCTGAAAAATCTGTCAGTCAAAACTATTATCCAAATCTACTACATTTATAAGTTTTACTTACTTAAAACTTGCATACTATCTCATGGATTGGAAAATAGCAAAAGTAATATCAGTACTCAAGCTTGCCACCTTGGTAAAAGTTACAGATCCTGCAAATAAATCTGCTGAATAATCTAGAAAAAATCCTTGAGAGGATCATATATTTCCATCTCTTCACGCATGTAAAAAACTCAAATATCATAATCCTGCAGCAGTTTGGCTTTAGACAAAACCACTCCTGCAAATACAAGTCACAGAACATGTAGTAATGAAAAATAACAAGAACAGATTAATCCAGCTTATTCTACTACATATAGAGAAGCTTTCGACTCAGTTTGGCACAACGTTCTGCTTATAAAACTGCACCAGATAAACATTCCAACACCACTCATCTTCATAATTACCAGCTATTTCAAGAACAAAAGATTCTACGTAATCGTCAATAGTACATCATCCACGTTCCAGAGCGCATCCGCGGGAGTCCTACAAGACTCCATACTTGGTCCTCTCCTTTTCATTATATATATCAACGATATGCCAAAATCAAAAAACACGCACAATATATGTAGATGATATTGCTATTTTTGCCTTCTCCTGGAGCCATAAAAAAGCTATAAATACATACTAAAGCTACTAAATACATACAGGACCTAGATACCTAAATAAACTTTAGATTTACTTCTATAATTGGAAGCTGACTATCAATCTCACGAAGACTCAAGTCATCGCATTTATCAAAAAAAGGATTACACCCACGAACTCCTAGAGTTAAATATCTCAGAATCATCCCAGACTCTAGACGAAATAGTGGCTTGGGGAATAGTGAAAAAATGAACCTAGTCCTAAAAGAGCTCTACTATTGTCCAGTAACAGTAAACTAAAAATTTCCATTAATTTCAATCTATAATATGCGTCAGGTCAATCATTACGTACAGATACCCAATCTGGGCGGCAGAAGACAAAACTCACATTAATAATATACAAAGTAAAAATACAGAACAAATTTCTTCGCATTATTCTGAATAAAACACATGACACACCACAGTCAGAGAGCTACACTACGTATCCAACATACAGATCATCCAGGAATATATCAGGAACTCAATAAAATCAGCCTATAACACTAAACATGATAATTAGACCTGATAATTAGAACCTGATAATTAGAAATATGAACTATGAAACTATGACATCAACAATTGCCATTCAAAATAAAAACTAACCTATTAAAACATGTATTTACATCTGTAAACTAACGCATTGTACATAAGAACTCAACAAAAAAAGCAGATTTTTTTATTATTATTTACCTGATCATTTTCCTTCTATTCTAAAATTTTCCTTCTACTCTAAACACAAAACAAACCAGACAACAAAAATGATCAGGTAAATAATAATAACAAACCTCTCATGTTAAATGCAGGTAAGAGGACATTATCCCTATTATTGCAAGAGGACAACATAAGTCAAGGCAAAAAAAAAAGACGAAAATCAATTACAGTAGTCTACACGTAATTAACCAACTGTCGGGAATTGGTTAATTAAACGTGGAGGTGTATTCCAGGAATTGGCATCGAAAGAAAGAATGGAGATGAGCTTGTTCTGTATGTGCAAGTGTTACGTTTCAGGCCGCACGGTAAAGTAGCATAGAGTGAGAATAGTCCTAATTCTAAAAATTTGTGAGGATAAGCGTTGGTTAGTTACGCGTAGCAAAGTGTGGTCTGTTACGTGTGGATTACTATATTATCGAGTAGACTGTCAGAGTCGATTCTGAGTTGAAGTGTTCCAAAGTCACATCTCTCGACTACATGTGTTGCGTAATGAAGTGACTCGTGTATTCTACGTAATGCAATCAAAAATCCATTCAAAGTGCATAAATTCAAAACCTGGAACAGGATAAACAGGATAGGCCTAACCACGCTGAATACAAAAGAAGCAGAAAAAGAATAGTCAGCGTACACGCAGAAAAAACAAATTCACGGGTATTAGCGAAAAGAAAGAATACAGAAGAACCCAGAATTACAGTTAGGAGATGGTCGTCATTATTATCGGACTCAACCAAAATCAAGATACCGTAAGTTCATAAATACACAAAACAAGAAACAGATTCAATACATTTGCTTATTCAAGACTAACAGATGCAACACACTGTCTTGTTCAAGACTAGGACACTGAGAAAAAACACCAAGAAATTACCACTAACACCGACTCTAATTCCAACGCCACCTAATCTAAACTTGACGAACAAAAATCCTCAGACAACTAAACTGCCACATAAATTCACGAGAAAGTCAACCATGCAAAATTACTATGCCTTCAGAAACAAATTTCAAAACGTGTTGCAGGCCAAACTCTCCTCTGACAAACTAAACATAATCAGCAAAGTTAGCGACTTCAACGAATTGAAAATCATATGTCAAAAAGAAAACATCGAGTATCATACATACGATCAATTCAAACAACAAATCAAAGAAAGAAATAGATACAGAAGAAATTACCAAAGAATTGGTAATCCCTCTACAAGCTCTACAGATACATGCTGTCCTATCACTTACGAAAAAGAATAACAGAAGTAAACAACAAAACCTAGCAGGACAGACTAGTTCGCATCCACAAAATGGATCATACCATCTGGAACACATATAAAGTCACAGGAAAAACAAGAAATCGAACATTTATTCTTCAGTATCCGAACAACAGAACGACAAAGAAAAAGCTGAATGTTTTGCTGAAAGCTTTCTCGAATACCTACAGTTCCCCATAAAAGAAGACATAAACTAACAAGCGGCGCACATACTAAGAAATCCGCCAACGGAAGCAAACACACTAGGATACACTCCGCAAATGGTAAAAAGGATAATAAAGAATCTCTCAAATAATAGATCACTCGGTCCCGGTAAAATCACAGCAGATTAATTAAAAAAATTTTCGTACAAAGTAATAGTGTAGATTTATTATATACTCAAAGCCTGCCTCAAGTTTTCCTACTTCCTCTTAGCCTAGAATGTTGCTAAAAATAATACCAGTACAAAAACCGGATAAACTGAGCAACTACAGTAATCAGCTATAGACGAATAAGCCTACTCAGCATCCTAAGCAAAATACTTGAGAAATTTACCTTCATGCCCATACAAATAACTCCAATATAATAATTTCCCAAGAGTATGGTTTCAAATCACTCATGCATGGAGTATTTTTTGCGTGTAACTAACATCAGAATCCAAAACAATAAAAACAGACTTATTCAACTCTCCTTGATCTAGAAAAAGTCTTCGCCTCTCAGGCGATTCCCTATAATTTTAATTATTAGAATTATGTGTAGATATTAGAAGTATGTATTAGGCTTTTTGTTGTAAAATAATTTATTCTATTTTCAGATAAAGACAAAGGTTTTTTATTTTGGTAAGAAGTCCTAACGTCTACCACATTCTATCACGTCTGTGTTATCTTTCCAGAGCTGAAAGGCCTTCGGAAGCCGAACTGCATGTTTGTTATATTTGGTGTCCTCTAAAAACGGTTAGCACCAATCTTCTTATCAATGTTTAATAATTTTACCGTTTTTAGGGCAATCAAACAGTTTACAGTAACAGATTTAAAGTGGCGAATCCGCACTCGCCATTCAATTTTCTATAAAACAGGCTCATTGTCAGCGGAGAAGTCAGTACGATAATAATCATACAATCAAAAAGTGCAATACTCAACAGACAGTACGTCAGTGCGAATTACTGAGTACATACAACCATTGAATGCGTACAGCGTCAGTGCGTTATCATCACAATTCAGGCTATAGTTATTCTTTTTTCTATATCGTCATATTTCGGCTATCACTGCTATTGTGCTATTACTGCGTGAAATAGTCACTAAGAATTAGTCAGTTAGTCAATTATAATTCTGTGCAACGTTCGATTTACGCGAATCTAACACTCATGAAACATACAGTTCATTCATCGTGACCTCCGATCATCTATCGGAATCGTAACATACTCTCATAATACTTTATAATACGGTCACTATTCGCCTCAAATACAAGCGTGCGAATCATGCTCATATCGCTTGACACATCGTACCCAAACAGAAAGCATTTATATCTGCGTGGCATAATACTCTTCTAGTCAAGTTACAAGTAAACATGCCACTCAGCCTCATATATATAATTAGCAACTATCTGTGCAACAGGAAGTTCTTTGTCTTCGTCAACGGCTCTTTCACAATCAAAAGCGCCAGTGAAATACCCCAGGACTCCATATTCGACCGCCTACTTTTCATCTTATATATTACATGCCGAACTCACTTAACACCCACAAAATCATCTGTACAGATAATACAGCTATATTTGCCTCTTTACAGAGCCTTATCAAAGCAACAGGCTATTCAAGAGCACTTGGATAAGCTTTTAGATACTATCGAAAATGGGAATTTTCGAAACAGTCTTCCAAAATACAAACAATCACGGACGCCAAAAAGAAACTTCATATAACTCACCAAGTTAATATAGTCAGCCATCCCATAGTTCTTCACTGCCAAGTATCTAGGAGTAGTCTTGATGCCAAAATAAGTTGGGTCTCCGCTGTAAGATCAACCATAAGTTGCATCTCATAAGTGAGAGAATCAGCCTATCCTATTCAATACTCAAGAGGCTTTACCTCATTATGTCCAAAAACAGTAGATTAAAAACTAGTATAAAAATAGACCCCTACAAAATGTACGTCCGGTTCATAATAACCTATGGGCAGCTGCGGCAGAAACACACATAAACCAAGTGCAAAAGATACAAAACAAATTTTTACGCATAATACTAAATCACCTCCGCGACACTTCGATCCGCGAATTTCATAAAATCGCTAACATTAATTGATACAAGAATATATCATCAACTTATTAAAAACAACTTACGATTATCAGCAGCTCAACTCACACAATTTTCCGTCGAATTACAGTATCAACGAAAATTTCTTTGAAGATAAAAACCAAGCTGCTGAAACATGTTCTATCCCCGGTGTAATTAATCTTACCCCACACACATAAGAATTCATCAAGTACAGCAATTTTTTTTGAAATTTTTTTCTGCAAATTGCACAACAGTCATTATCCATATCTTACTTTTCAAGCTACTAAGCATCTAACTTGTTGCATTTTTATATGCAGGTAAAAAGGTTACTTAACCTCAGGGATTGCATCACCTAATCCGAGTCAAAAACTTGAAAAAAAAGATGAAAGTCAATTGCATTCTCTGTAAGCACACGAGCTGTGGTGTTTTTGAATAAACGTTGTACAAATGTATAATTG